CTAAATTTCAAAGAGCTGCAGACATGTGAGTTTCCACCAGAAGAATGTTAAACATATATACACAAACACACAAAAACCAGACTGAGGCTGTGATCAGGGACTTCAGATCTGTTTGTACTTCATTCTGGAAAGGTTACAGAGCAGAACCCTTTGGTGAAGTTCTATGGTTGGGAGTGAATGATCAGGTTAGGCTGCAAGAATTTCACCACCTTCAATTCACATTGCGTAAGTGGCATGACTCACACAGCCCAAGGAGTTCCACCGCATTGCAAGGTGTTAAAAATTCAAAGCACAGAGCATCCTGAAAATAACAGTTAGGAAAAGAGATATTCTTTGCAGAACTAACAACATCTTCAGGATTCTTATGAGGCACGCATTTCCTTTAGCTATCCTAAAGGCTAAGCATCTGTCAACATACGTTAGCTGATTCATTTCACAAGTGATGAAGAAAAGAATTCTTGTTTTGCACTCCTCATACGGGATCTTTTCTGTGGCACGTATTAAATTCACACACGAGGTCACGAGTATTACTTCTACTTTACAGATTAATATGGAACACACATTATCTGGTTAGCCCAAGGTAACTGCACGTGGCATCTCAGCACTCCAACTCTGTATTGCAGCACAGTTTAGACCTTTGAGCACTCTGTTTAGCAGAAAATTACTTCTACAAGTTAACTGTAGGAAGCCTGGCATATTTCATAATAGCATTACTTCAGGTTTCAAAAGAGATGGTAATTAAATAGTATAGAAAAAATCCCTGCAGCATAAACAAAATTCTAAGCCAGGACCCCTTACTGGCTTTGCTGCTGCTTGCACCTGGGCCTGTGACAGATACCATTCACGTCACTTAAGGCGCTCTTACTTCGTATAGAACAGGGCAGATCGAGAACTTTGAATCCAGAGGAAGGACACAGTCACTGATCAGGTTATTTGAAGCATCCCTTGCCATTCAGGCAGCTGACCACTAGCTGTCCCCATTGCTTCACAGGAGTAAAGGATCAGTGCTGTAACTGGGAGGAAAATTGCCCCCCAAAGTGAGCGCTGCTGCTCTTATAGGAGAAAAAAGAAGTGAAAGCTCAGAAAAATTAAAACGAGCTCCTACAGTTCTGTAAGTCTGCAGATAAGAAAATGGCTAAGTAGAAAGCCTACATCCCAGACCAGTGATGCAGTTATAATATGGAACAGATCAGCAGTTAAAGCTCAGGATACCACCTCAGCAGATCCATGGCTTTATGACATGGCAAAGGAAAGTCCTGGAGACCCATCCACGCAGCAGAATAGGAACAGTCAAATTGACTCGAGCACTGCAATGCTCCTGCCCAGGCGGTGACCACAACCACCACATCATCATCTGCAGGGTCCCATAAAAATACCTCAAGTGATGTTTTCCCAAGCAATATCTATGGTGGACACTACTTCCTAACCTCAGAATATAGAAACTATTCAAATTTAAAACTAGAAAAATAGACACCAGAGTCCATAACATGAAGGTGTTTCAGGCTCATCTCAAAACCATAAAATTCTTCTCTCTATTGAGAATGCAGGACAATTTCTCATTTCCATTCATCTTTTGGCTTCTCAACATGAGCCCAGAACACAGAATAGTCACTATATCTGTTGGAGCTACACAGTTTTGGATTTGGCCTTTTCACAAATCAACTTGGAGAAATCTCATTTCATATTGATAATGTTTGGGGTTTATCACATAACAGATGCTATTAAGAAGACAGAATAATATTTTACAAGGCAATTAATTCCACCTTAATTGCTTTTTTAGCCATAATGCTGCTACTCACAAAAGAATGACAAAAGACTGCATATGCTTAATAAAACTTATATTATTAATTTGGATGTAATTTATCGCTTTTGTTTGGCCTTTGTGAATCAGACTCATTTCCTACTCTATAATATTTGCTCATAAAAAATCAAAGACAAGGCAGTGTCATTTCTAACGTGCCAAGCCTCCAGTACACCCCTATCGCCGGTGATACTGCTAATACATTGTATGAGGGCAGTTGTCACTCAAGCCAGCTATTTAGATCAGAATCTCCACCTTCTCTTTGCTACATTACAGTGAAGCAAAGATGTAGTAGAGGGTATTAAAGGTTTAGATTACAATATCCTTCAAAATGTAGTTATAGGAAAAACATGGGAAAGAGACAGATTCCTGCTTTGTTATTTCAAGCTTCTGCTCTGGAAGGACCTCTCCTACTCGGCAGCTTTCATTCCTGCATGTCACAGCACAATGCACTAAACCAAAATGTTTGCAGATAGCTTTATTCAGAACAGCAGAATGAAATTCAGAATTGTCAGTGCAGGATTACTAGCAAAATAAAGTAAAATGTGATTATTCACATACCTTCAGCAGTTAAAAAACATCTAAGTCCAAAAACTGTTGTTCAACTAATAGACTAGATTCAAATGATATAAATAAAAAAAAATTGGACTAACTGACAACAAAATACAGCTTGCTGAAATCAGACCAACTTAGGGTACTCGGAAATCCAAAGGAAGCCATTTCCTGCTTAGTGGTCACAGCTTGTTGCCAGAGGAGTAAAGTATTGTCAGTTCAACAATCATACATTGTAAAGTGTTTTCCTTAAGCAGTATGGAACAAGGAAAACAGTCTCCTGTTTAATATACACTTACTAGTTTAAAGCATCAAAAGCTATTTTCATGTCATAACTACTATTTTTTCCTAATAAACATTAATAAACACTACTTTCAGTAGCTTCATGTACCAAATTCTACCATTATGAAAAAACGGATCAAAGTGTTTCTCGTGTAACAACATTGCACTGTGGTAGAGAGCCCCTCTGCAGTGCCTGGTGATGTTGGTGTATCAGGTAGCCAAGGCCTGCAGGAAAAGGTTTGTTAAATGAACATAATTAGAAAACTTTCCAGAGAGCTGGAGGGCTACAACTAATGCTACTGTAAATGAGCAATGCTGCCTCTTCCTCTAGCTGATTTATTGGTACACCTGCATTCAGGAGAGGGAGAGAAATTCTTAAAAGGACAAGACTTCATCAGTTTTGAAGAGGAGGAAAGGAAATTGAAATCAAGTTACAATAAAAAGCCATCAAGAATCTTTCTTTGTAAGTATTTCAATACAGCCTGAACTTGAAAGCTACTAAGTAACCATACTGCTCCAGGTGACTGAGAAAGGAAGTGAAACACTCCAGTTTAATAAATAAATAAATAAATTAAAAGGTATATATAGATCATGCTACATTTAAATATATAAATCCCACTGAATTGGTAACTACAGACACAGGCTGTCTAGAGACACCTATTTCTTTATTAGACAAATATGATTAATTTAGCTGATTTAGGAGAATTAAGCTGTTCAGATACATGACATACCGACTATTGACTTCCCCAGATCTGAGGAGTCTATACTCCTATACCAAGCTGTACTTGGCCGTTTTGAATGGCCAGCTGCCACAGACGTGTAAATTGCACCTGAATAAGCTCACATATGCAAGCAGAAGAAACAGCTTCTGCCAGCTTTCCTCCAGCCAATGATTTTTAAAATACCTTTCAACAATTACACCAGCAAAACATCATCCTCCAAAAACTCACGAGAAACAAGATGTAAAAGTTTGTAAGTTTTACCTTAGCAAATAAAGAAATTAGCCTGTGCTTCTCCACATAGCCCTGAAATAAACAGTCAAGAAAAGGTTTTTCCAGAAGTACAGCTACAAACCACCTTGTGAATACAGCCTAAGGACACCATTCTCACACAAAAGGAAACTGTTGTCAGGTGTGCGAAGTGATTCTTCCCTCCTGAGAACCAGGAGAAACCTGTAAGTTTCAATGGTGTCTAAGTGTAAAAGACCCTCAAAGAAAAAGTACACCTCTGAACAAAGAATAAACTCATTATACTTTGCACCTGTTTAAGAAAAAAATCCTTTTAACAAGTTGGTTCATTAATAAAGGTGCAATTAAGTATCACATCATTAAAGGAATGAAAACAGAATAAATTCTCATTAAGAAACAATGCTAAGGTATCTATCGCATTTAAAAAAAAAATCAACACTCCCTCTCCTTGCTCTGCTTATAGAAAATCTTACAGGAATTTGTCACTTACAAAAATAGGATTGCTCCTGAAAGTTAGGAAACTGAGCTTTTTTTGAGCTAAAAAGCTAGAATTTGTTCCCCTATTTCAAAGAAAAGGTGTTACTTATTGTGAACAAGCACAGCAATGAGAACAAAAAACCATTAGGGGAAACTACCACTCATTTCAATATCACAAACAAGACATAAGCATAGGGAAAGTGACAAATTTTGCATTCTCTCAATAACAGATTCTCTTTCTGTTAACATTGTAAGTTAGAATAGAGAAACTTCAATCACTGTGGCAAGCAGCCAGCTCATGAATAGGCTTGCTAACATCAACAAGAGTATTCGTATGAACAAATGCTCAAAATGACTATGAAACTTCTTGTATGTCCTTTGTAATGTTAAAATCAGTAGGATTACTGTGGTTTCTAAGTGCTCTCCCACATGGACTAAGAGCTGAAGTCAAGAAGAGTGCTCATGAGAGAAACTATGTAAGAGCTGCAGTTAAAGACTGACCTGGGTCTTTGTTTTCAGCTTAAAAAAATAATATAACACATTCTAACAGAAGGACTATTCGACTAGCTTTAACTATAACCTAGTGCCTGAAGTTAGATTCTGATGTTTATTAATAAAGAAAAGCACCTCTGTTACTGTGTGAACAGTTTTTGGTTAACTGTGTACACAGCTTTGCTTGAAGACCATGAGATTGCAAACTACATTCCAAAAGTATAGAAGCGGGATGGTAATACATAAAGGATCTGTGAGAAAGGAAGCACTAGAACTAGCAGCAAGGTGGGGTTGCCTGCATGGTCAGCCCTTCATTTGAATGCAAATGTAATTTTGGGGCAGGCAGTTATCTGTGACATCAGGCAGGACCTTAGTCAACTGTTACCACCAGCACCTGGTAAAACCATTGTTAATCATGTGTAGTAAAGGGACATCAGGGCTAGCATGAGTCATTTATAGAGCCAGGCAGGGCTAGAAAAGAGAGAGAAAGAAAGAGGAGGGGAAGAGAGATCAAACAAACACTGCGAGGAGCAGGATGTCCCAGCAACACAAAGCCAGGCTGTGAGCATCATGTATGTGAGTTACCTTTTGGATAAAGAAACCAGCATGTATCCAGGATCTGCAAGGTGCAGCAGCAACAACCTGCCGGTGCAAAACTTTGTGTCTACTCCAGCCTATTCAGATTACATGGGATATCATCATGTGCCAACCCTGGACACCCATGGACAGCCAGCGGGAACCTGGGGATCTCCCTATGGCCCACAGAGGGAGGACTGGAACGCGTACGGCCCAGGACCTTCCAGCACGGTTGCTGCTGCACAGCTCAATGGCTCGTCTCCTGGCCAGGTCTCCTACACTTCTGCTGATTACAGCTCCCTCCATCCCGCTGGAGCCGGGGGGTTACCTCCTGTAGAAACAATTAATGCACAGCAAATCTCTCCCAGCAGCCAAAGGCACAGCTCTTATGAATGGATGAGGAAAACAGTGCAATCCACTTCTACAGGTATGAGGGCACTGAGGTTTTATACTGAGAAGAGATTTCACTTTTTAGTGTTGTTGGGGCTTTTCTTTTTTTTCGCCAGGTCCCCTGTTTAGAGAGAAGTGTAGAGTTTAACAAAGCAAATCCTAATTGCTCTGAAGGATTCTCTCTCTAGCAGTTAAATATTGGTTTGAATATTGGATTCTGGTTTTGATCAGATGACTATTTCTTATTCTTGACCTTTAATGCTGAGGCAAATTAAAAGCAATTTGACAGTGAAGTATTTTCACTTCAGATATGTTAAAAAATTTGTGATATCAAATAATTGCTTTTAATAGAAGTCTTAGATATTGAAAGGAAGCAGCATGTGTGCAGAAAGAAAGCAGGATGAAAGTATTAATATTTCACCACCAGCTACACTTATTTTCCTCAAGTTTTAGAGTATGTATGAAAAGTTGAAGTAAAATATATACAAGTAGGAGGATTGGAAATAAGGCTCCATATTAGAAACAACCCCTCTAAACCTCAGGACACTGAAGTGAATGAGATCTGCAAGATCAAACACTGAGTCAATGCCTTAAAAACAGGAATGATAAGGACAGGCTTGCTTCACTTTGTAGTGGTAGCTCTCAGAATATGCAGGAATACAAAGATCCATGGTAACTCAGTTAATACAGCAGCAGATTGGTCTCTGATGTGTTCATGAGTACAAAACAATTCTTCAGTTGTATTTAACCAGTAAAAATAAGTCATGAAGCATGAGGAAAAGGTTCTGTTTGATTGTGATGAGGAACAATAGAAAAAATATAAATATTGAGCATCCCTAAAACAAAAATCTGTAGCTTGTATGAATAGAAAACAAAATATGAAATAGGAAAGAAGTGAAGGAAAAACAAAAAGAGGGAAAACTGTCTGAAAAGAACAGAGGCACAAACTGCTATGCAAAAGTATTCGATCCTCTAAGTTGCTGAGCAGCTTTGACAAGCACAGAGATCAGCAGAAATTAAGGATGCTCAGTCTCTCCCCTAAAGAGATCCTCACAGTATTTCAATGTTACATCCCAGGAAGGTTCCTTGCCTTTCAGCCCTTCCTCCCACTCCAGCTCTGTTCCACACATGCCTGTAAATAACAGTTTTCAAAGCAAGTACTGAATCCATCTCTGATGGGAAAGTAATATCTTAAAACATACTTTAGAAAAATGAAAGCAACTATATAGGAAAATTGTCTTTATTAAAATAACGCGTCTATTTATATGGACA